TTCCTTGCTTTTATCTGTGACTTTGTAAAAATCTATCTAAAGTTTGCTGGCTTGAGGTAAAATTTTGGTAAAGACAAAGAAGTTTGTAGTTTCGCTGGAAAATGTAATCTCTATAGTCTTTGGTAGTCTCCAGTGCATAGTGTGTTTTTCTGCTCTTAGATATCTTACTTTCAACTCTCATCCTGCCCTCCTCCTGCTTGTTCAAACTGAAAAATTCAACATGTAATACAGGTTGTATCTTGTGTAAAAAACAGAGACCATCTAATTTGCCATAGAATTTTACAGCAGATAACCAAACTCATATTATCAGCTCACTTCTCTACTGTGAAGGCAAGATCAAAAAATGAGTCTGGTAAGACATCTTGAATGCCTCAGAGAAAGTGTTGGATATAAGTTTAAGATCTTACAAACAACGGAGCCATGTTTTCTTCAGTTCAGTTGTATGAAGTAACACAAATACCTAGATTTGTATCTAACCTCTGCTACCTGGAGATCTGTGGAGCAGCAGCACAGCCAGAATCCCTCCTTTTTGCCCAGTGAAAGTCAGCAAGGCAGTTGTGAGAGAGAAGTGAAGCTGCAATATCAGAGAAACCAGAGAGAAGGGAACACAGCTGCTGTTGAGTCCTTCAACAGGCAGAAAGGTCAACAACTGCCCCTGCTGCCCAGGTCATCTCCATTCAGATAAACAGGGTGATGCCCACTTTTGCATGTACCATTCTGTGCATGGTGTTAGTATTCATTATTCTGTAGTGGAGCCTGCAAGCCCCAGTCAAGGGTCAGAGCCTCTTACTGCTCTCTTCTAACAAACCTTTCAAAAAGATGCTTCTGTTTTGTAATAAAGAAGGAAGGGAGCTACAACAGCTGATTTAATATTTTGTCATTTGTTCACTATGTGCTTTTTAGAAAATAAATCCTTATTCTGAATTTATTTTGTTCACTTGTGTCTGGCTTTTACAATATTTTGTTGCTTTAGAATGTAGCTTCATTGACAGTGCTTTGTTCTTCTGTTCATTTCTGTGACAGAATTGTGGCAGTTACATGACAGCTTATTGTAATTTGTTTCAAATATTTTTAATTTGTCATTAGTTACGTTTACATTATTTTGCTTTATTTTAGTTCTTCATTTTTTTTTCTTTTAGCACATTCATCTATATTCTGAAGATAACCCTGAGCTGCTGTGAAAGCAGAGCAATGATTAGATATATTATTTACATTTGACTCATATCACATCATAACTTACACAGTTGCATGATTCAAATCATAAACCAGGTGGGTGACTTTTTTTTGACAACCTATAAATTCATGTGGTTAAAAAAATATATTGCAAATAATCCACTGCATATGTGTTTTGTAAAAGTTGTTATTTGTTCATATGTGCGGTTAGGGAGATTCAGAAAAAAAATATTTATCTTTCTGAAGTAGAGGAAGAAAATACTTCTTAACATTATTGAAAGATAAATACAGGCTTTTATGTTTTATACTGCACTTTATGCAATTAGAGTTACCAGAATAAAACTGACTATCAGATGTTTCTGATTGCAAGAAATTTCTTCATGTTTGATACAGGACAAACTTGGCAAAAACAAAATGATACATTTTTAGTCAGTTTCAGGTTCTTTTGACTCTTTGATCCTGAAGCAAACCGCAACACTATCATACCTTCAAGAGTTATAGGAAAATCCTGATTTCATTAAATGGCCCTTGTCACACATACTGTATCATCATGTTAATGCGTAATTTATAGAAGTTTCAAACAGTTTTATCTTTGGATTCAATTATAGAGTTGTCGCATAAAAACAATGGTAATTAAATACATACTCTTCATATGCATCAGATGCTTAATTAAGTTCCCTGCACGTAGTTTTGTTCTTGCTGTTATGATTAAACTCTGTGGTAGCATAGTCTTAGTTTTCCTTTCATTTATTCCAGCTGAACTAGCCTTGTCTTTATTTACACCCAGTATAAGTGAGAAGATAATTGTTTATCTCATTCTGGTTATTCCATGGGGCTTATTCATCAATAAGTAACCCAACAAGAATACAAGTTAAAATTTGTTGCAGAGTAACTGTTGATAAGGGGACTGTAGCCTTTTACTGGTGACTTCAGCAGTGTCATCAGGTTGTATCACTAGCTGGGTTCAGTAAAATAGAAGAATACTCCATACAAGGTAAAAGTGTTCAGTGTTCATACTGTATCCACCAAAAGATTCGTCTTCCTCGTGTACAAAATTAAACTTAAATGTCATAAACTGATTGCATGGCACACGTTCTTGTCAATATCTTGTCAATAGATACAATCTGGGCATTCACTGGTATTTTACAAATCGTTTCTTTCCATTCTAAGAAACATAAATTCATCTGTTGAACTTACCTTTAAATGTAAAATACTAGAAATCAGCTATGCTAAAATCTCAGTGATCAAAATTCAATAATCAGCTTAATGCTCTGTGTTTCGTGTTTCTGAATTGTTTTCCAATGAGTATATGGTGAAGGCACGGTCATTTTGAAATGTATTGTTGTTATCTGATGGCATTATTAAGCATCCGTACTTTGAACTGACACCAGAAATTAACTTGTAAGTTAATATCCAAAACAAAATCTGTATTTATAGTTAATTAAAGCTGGAGCAGTATCTCATAAAAATCTGAATTTTTCTTTTATAGTACTCTTCCAGTGCAGATGACAAGGCAGTTGGGGAAGATAATGAATACTATCAGGTCTCATTGGGGTTTCAGTGAAAGTTAAGATTGATCAGCTTCTTACAAATTATTCTTGGTGCTCTGTACAATTAGATTGTAAAAATTTGGTGTTCTCTCCACTGTCTGACTGTTCCCTCTCTGTGTTTCAGGTCGAGTTGGGCTATGGAAAGACATCTTCACTGTTTCTATGAATGAGAAATTTGATTTAGTTTATAAACAGAAGATGGGAAAATGTGACCTCACATTTGATTTTTATTTATAAAAATGCATGCATGTTATATCCAAATATAGAAGTGCTTTATGCATTCATTTATTACCTGCTGGACAAACTACTGTAGTTATTATGTGTAACCAGATTTAAAGAAAGAAAAGCAATCGAAGTAAACCATAGATCAAGTAAGCAATCTAAGAAAACCTTAAACAATTTAAGTGTAAACCAGATACGATTATCTTTGATCCTAAACACCTGTTCATCTTCTGGTATTTTGATTATTTGTCCACATGCAAGAACTTCCTAGACAATACTAGAACATTCAGTTGTTAAGGAATTGTATTATATACATATAAGGTATGTATCAAATGTGCAACTAGAATGTACACCTTTTCAGGCCCATCTTGCTTATTTAATGTTTTATAAATGTCAATGAACCAAATAAATTATTTCAGAGGGGAACAAGTAACAGGCCAAAACTGTATGCTAGAATGATCTCAGGGGTTAATCATCACATTTATTTTTATAGCTGGTAAATCAAGTATAAATCAATCCTATTCCAAAATAAATTATCAAAGTGGGGTTCACATTAAGTTCTGCACACCCTTATCTCTGTAATTTCTGAGTAGATTCTGTGTACTGGCACACTCTGCAAGACAGGCCTTGTTATGAAATATAGCTGTGATTGTCACTAATCCCCAAACCCATGCATGCTTTCATGGATGACTGCACACAGCAGTCTTCTTGACGGAAGAAGTTCAGCTCCGTGCAGAAGGTCAGCAAACAAGCTTTCAGCCTGCAGCTCTAGCTTAGTCCCTCAAAATGGGGACCAAGGCATCTGGTGCAGAGGTCTTTCTTCAGGAATCAGTCTGTAACTCATGTTGGTTTACTGTGCAGATCTGAATTTCACCTATTAGAAACAATCAGAGAAGATAGGGTGCTGGATATCCTCCTGTTCCACCGAAATTTAAGGACACTCAGCACTGTTCTCTGTGGTGCTGGACTCCCTCAGACCTAAGATAAAGTGGATATGTGTGACAGTGTTAGCAGGCAGAGGAAATGGCAGCAGTGAGGGAAGAGAGTTTAAAAATACACCACCAGCTGAGAGTATTGTACAAATATTCATGCAGAATGGTTTCAGTAATTGTTAGTCATCGCTAGTTGGTCTGGATTATGATCAGGATGCAAGTTGATTTCTTTTTTATTTTCTGTGACAGGTACACAAACAGCCTGAAGCAGGCTCCTATCACTGTAAAACTCTCCAGAATTATTTTATTCTGTTAGGTAATTACATCAATGCCTTTTAGGTTCTCAGCTGCAGGAGGGCCATTTTTGCTAGTTAAATATTCAGTCTCACCAAAAGCCATGAGGAAAGACTAGCAGATTTTGGGTGTTTCAGTTCTGTTGGAAAACAAACTGCCAGTTTAACTGGCAAATGGTGTAGCATGATGTGGCTTGACAGCACTTTTCCTTGTATATTTGTGGGTGAAAATGCTTTCAGTGAAATTTTATTTCTATTTTTATATTTTTAGTAATGTATGAATATTAAGCACTACACATTATACTTCTGTGCTTGCTTGCTTATTGAATAAAAGATGTGTTCCATGCATTATGGTTTGCTCATTTTGGAGACCTCCAATTCAAGCCTTGTAGTCTTCAGATACAGATCTGCTTCACTACCCACACCTCCTAATTTAGGACAGAACTGCAGATTAAATCAAACCACTGTCTGACCCAGTGAGCTGTTTCTGACAGCAGCCTATAACAAATCACAGATTCACACAGAATCACAGAATTGTAGGGGTTGGAAAGGACCTCAAGAGATCATCGGGTCCAACCCCCCCTGCCAAATCAGCTTCCTTAAAGCAGGCTGTCCAGGTAGGCATCCAGACAGGCCTTGAATATCTCCAGAGAAGGAGACTCAACAAACACACTGGCCAGCCTGTTCCAGGCGTTTTCTCACCATGAAGAAGTTCTTTTGCCTGTAGGTGCAGAACTTCCTGTGCTTCATTTTGGGGCCATTACCCCTTGTCCTGTCCCCACAAACCACTGAAAAGAGGTTGGCCAAATCCTTCTGTCTCCCACACCTCAGGTATTTATAAGCATTGATAAGATCTCCTCTCAGTCTTCTTTTCTCCAGGGTGAACAGATCCAGGTCTCACTCTTCCGTCATAGGGAAGATGCTCCAGGCCCTGTATCATCTTTGTTGCCCTCCACTGGACTCTTTCCAGGAGATCCCTGTCTTTTTTGTACCAGGGAGCCCAGAACTGGACCCAGTACTCCAGGTGAGGCCTGACCAGGGCAGAGTAGAGGGGGAATAGTTTGTGCAAGAATACAATTGAGAGTACAGGACTATGTATCTTGTTGTTTAGTAGTACTTAATTTTTTTTTTATTCCCTTGTGCTGGTATTGACACCATCCTATGACCGTAAGTTCATCATCTAAATACACACTGTGTGACAAAGGACTCCTTTTGTCTTCTTAGAGACTGCCAACAGATAGTGTAATGTGATGTTCCTTTGTTCTCGCATTGTAACAGATGATACAGTCACTATTCCATCCACTGTTCACTTGGAATTTTGTAGACTTCTATCTTACAGGTCTCAGCAGCTCCATGCTGAGGAGTCCTAGTCTCATACAGAAAACTACAACCTACAAAATGTGATGAGCCACAAGAAGACACAACTAAAGAGAGTAGACATCTGCAGTGGAAGTTTTGCAGAGGAAGACAAAATTTTCCCACCATTCCTGTGAATGTGAGTCAGAAGAAAACATCATTGGCACCAAAAATCTACTGAAGTTGTTTAATCCTGAGGGCATAAGAGCAATACATCCTTACCACCTGCTCAAAAGGCTTCTAAAGTTTCAAAAGACAGCAGTGAATCCTACTCGCATTCCTAGACACAGTCTGTCTCCTTTGCTGCATGAGAAAACAATTGCCAGCCCCCAAAGGCAAACCTGTTGGGTTCTAAGGCCATGTTTTTAACATCCAAGTGTCTATACGTGCCAATGCTGAATCTAGCTAAATGAGAGCCACCAGCTACCAACCTGGAGGAGGAGCAGCTAGTACAAACCAAAAAACTTTACTTAATATAACAGGAATAACCTCTGTGATAATCTATTGTGTATCTACAGCTATGCTGGAGCTCCTTATTTTGGACTTGTTGCTGTGTGCTAGGAATCTGCTTTCTAGACCTGGAAGGATTGCCTTCACCTAGAGTTAATCTTTCCTATCCCTTGATCACATTGCTTTTGGCTGTTATGTGGAGGAGTCAAATGCCTGGTCAAAGCCCATTCCTACAGACACCGTGCTGAAATTCTGACTTTGGCTATCTGATCTTTGCAAGCATTTCAGTCCAATACAACATGACACCAATAGTTCTGGCAATAATAATGATTCATAGGCTTGAGTCACCATTATGATGCTATTTAGTCTTTCCTTGGTTATACACAATGCCACTGAGCAGTTATAAGCACAGGTTTAGAGGGAGCATGAAATAACAGAGACTTAGCTAAATCAAATAATATTAACAAAACATCCCAAACCCAAGAACCACACCCATGGAAAGGACACAGTACAGAAATTATTATGTGTAATCTCAATACATCCTGTCACATCCTGTCAGTATGATCACTAAATAACGCATTCTTCTTTACCACAGGATCTGCAGACTCGTGTTCCCTAGTGTCTGAATTACGAAACACGCAGATGAGTATTTCTGCTACATGTGGTGTTGTATATGTGTATCAAACAGATAAGACAAATAATTGCAACCAATTATGTGCTTTATTGTGATGATGGGAAGAGCATCTGCAAAAATGAATGCCTTCATTGAAAAACAGAACTTGGACAGATATCAGCGTAATGTGGTTTAGACCTCAAATGCTGAGTCCTACTCCAGTGAAAATTGCTGTTCTCTCTTCAGGGAGTGGCTAGGAAGTCAACAACACCAATTCCACTCTGTTCTAGTTTATCTGTGTATAAATTATCCTTTGCAAAGATGGAAGAATGATGGCAGATTCTGTAGGCAGACTGGAACAAAGCCTCTTTTCAGATATCAGGCTCAACTTATACACAGGTGCGTATAATAGCCAGTGTCTTGATAACATCTGAGCTGTGTGGACTTGCAAGAGTACATGAACGCAAGAAAAGTGTATGAAAATACAGGGTGATTCTGTGTAGTTTATGACTCCAGTGTGTGGGAATTACTGTTTTTTAATAGCTTAGGACTCCATACTATAAACTGACTTCAGAAACAGTGAAGCTGTTTAAACCAGTGGAGTAGAGAAAAGGGAGGAGAAGCCTCTGTACTCCCTGCTAATGGAGGGACCTAGATGAGATTCCTGTAACAAACTGCCAGTTGTTTTTCTGGATTTTGCCACTTGATCGGTGAGTAAAATTGTTATGCCATGCAACAACTTTTGCTGGAGTTCTCCCTGTGCGCAGATGACAAACCCTGGCAATGCACATTAGAGCAATTTTAGAAGCCACAACCTCCAACTGCCCTCTGCCTCCCTGCTAGAAATGGCCACCATACAGGAGTGACAGCAGACACAAATGTGTGCTGCCTCCTCAGCTGCTATGATGTACAGGTTGACATATTAACAGAGACTGATAAGGATGGTGGTTTTGACTTGTGGAAAACACACTCCACAAACAGTAAGATTGTAAAGTAGGTTTGCTTATTCAGTGCTGGGCAACATGGGGGGAAGTCCCACCAAAGTCATGCACACCTGATGTGGCAACTTACCATGGTTATATGCAGTAAAGTGTTACATATGTATGAAGTTTCACAATGTGCCTATGCATAGGCATAACCTGTCCCCAATTCATGTTAAAATTAGTTTAAGAAGTCATTTCCATAAGCTTCTCCCCTCTGCACTTGCACATTGTCTCCTGGTGGTGGTTGCCAGGGCTCATGGGGATGAAGGTTGGTGACTCTTCCTCGTCACCGCTAGTTGACCTCATGTCCTTGCGCTGACTCAGTTGCTTCTTGGCTCTTGTCCATCCGTAGGACCAGTTTCTGCCAGTTTCTTAAGATAGGCTCACACTCTTATCAAGATACTAACCTTGGTAAGGGGCCCAAGGCTTCTTTAATTAATTTGCAGAATGCACAATAGTTAGACGTTAAGCAGCATCCACTACTTTGATACTGTCAGTGGTCTATCTCTATTTGCTAAGATTCTCCTAACTCCTTTTCTCAGTCCCCCCTTTTCTAAAAAGTTAGTAATTTTTTTTACTATTTCTAGGTTCAGTACAGTGTTTCCCCATCTAATTCTCTTTCAAAATATTTGTTAGACTTCAGTTTCCGTCTGAGTTGGTTCTTTTTCCACTTGCTGTAAGAGTTTCCTGTAATCTCAAAATACCATAAGGTACATCAGTTCACCACGCAAAGAACCATGGATAAAACTATGACCATGATTATTGTGATAAACAATTGCTTCATCCATGTTAATTTTGGCAACCAGGAAGTCAATTTTTCTACCAAATCTGTAAATCCCCAGGGTGTATCATCCTGAGCTACTGCAGCCTCAGCCTGTTTTTGTTTATTAACATATACACAGGAAGTTAGCATCTGGTGTATATGTTAACATTTTCAAGTGTATATGTTAACATTTTCAAGTTCATATCTCTGCCCTAGATGTTCACAATTGACCTTGCCAAATGGACATGCTCCACTTCTTAGGTATTGTGCTCCCACTGTTCAGCTTCCTTGACCAATGATAAGACCGTGGAAAACGTAACCTTCCAGGTTGCACCTGAGTAACCTTCCATGGAGTCTAGGGTGTCTTTTTCACTCTGGTGTGATCCAGGCATTCTGCTCCTTGATTCTGATCACTGTGAAAGAGGTAAGGAGTATCTGTAATGGTCCTTCCTACTGTGGTTCCAAAGTCTTCTCTGCAAGAGACTTTACATACACACAATCTCCAAGTTGTATATTGTGCACTGGTCCATCTAATCCTCTACCCCAAGTCCCACTCACATGCTTTCCAATTTATTTGAGCTGTTAACCTAAGGCTATATAGGAGGTCATAATTTCATCCCCAGCTTGCAAGGACGTTCCTCTTTGTATTCCATAGGGTTGTCCATGTAAGATTTCAAAGGAGCTTAGCCCTTCCTTTGCCTTGGTATATGCAAAAGGGCTAAAGGGAGAGGCTGAGGCCAGACCAAATTTGCTTCTTGTCCCAGTTTCACAATTTGTTTTATGATTAAGTGGTTCATTTTTTCTACTTGGCCACTCGACTGAGGGCGATATGGGGTATGAATTTGCCAGTCTATACCCAAATGGTGGCTAATTTGTTGAACCACTTTTGTGATAAAGTATATAGTTGCTGGAACTCCAAAACGAGGTATTATTTCTTGTAGTAATATCTTAGTTACCTCCAGAGACTTGGCTGTTCTGGTCGGGAATGCTTTTGGCCATCCTGAAAAGGACCAGTTTCTGCCAGTTTCTTAAGATAGGCTCACACTCTTAGCAGGAGACTAACCTTGGTAAGGGGCCCAAGGCTTCTTGCTTTAATTAATTTGCAGAATGCACACTAGTTGGCAAAGACACTAAGTAGCATCCACTAGTCTGATACCATCAGCGCTCTATCTCTATTTGCTAAGATTCTCCTAACTCCCTCTCTCAGTCAGACATGATATGTGACATCAGGTTACAGGTTAATTTGAAAATGTCCAAATATAATAAGATCATGACACTGATGGACAGGTTTTTGTGGCTCAGTTTGTGGAATAAATAAGTCTAGGTTTTCCATAGTCATACCTCCACGTCTTCCCCAATTAAAAAAAGTATTTTGATGCTGTTCCACCCTGTCTGAGATTTAAGTAGCCTGAGCTCTCAGGTGGATGGATAATTTTAAGAGTACAAAATAGTTAAAATACTATGCTTGTGATGTGACTGAATGTTTTGTACCAGTCTTGCAAAGAGCTAAATGATTTCAGGAATTGTACTGGTGTGGAGAATCTAGTTTCTTATATAAAACAAGCATTGTTACTCGAGCCACAAGCATCTAGTAATGAAGAAATAGAATCACAGTAGGACTATGCCAGTCCTAAGCCAGAGATTTGTTACGAGACTGCTTGAAAGAGAAGAGTACTTAGCTTTTTGATGCTAAAAAGGGATTCATAGCATAGATTAGGAGAGGAGAGTTAAAATACTTCGTACTTTAGCATGATAATAACAAAAACAACACTTTAAGCATACAACAGGGCAACATCCATTTATGCATGTTACTAAATTGATAGCAGTAGATCAAGAGCACCATCTACTTATCTGAAGTGACCTATGATACCAGCACATGGTTTGTGCTATCACCCTGGTCAACATACTTTCTCCTTGAGCAGTAATTCCAGCTGCCTTAATGTCATTGTCTGGCAACCTTGGCTGTTTGATCTGAAAACACAGAAAAAGTATAGATGAACATGAACCACAATAGTACTGTTGAAGACCACTGTAGGGACACGAATGGGGGAGCTTTGGCTTGGCATGCAAAGAACTACAAATGCAAGAAAGTGGCTTGATCCTACCTTCGTTCTAGCTGTTCCTCACAGCTTTGCACTGCTCGTAAACAAAATCACTAATTTGGATCCCTGAGCAGAACAGAGATGTGGCAGCTGTCCCTCTTTCACCAGTGTGATGACTTAGTGTAGAATATTTTTTGTTCAAGGATATATCTATACGTATATGCTGCTGTATTTGGCCCTTGGAATGATACAAGAGTCCCAAGGTCAAGAAAGCTATAGTGCTAGTTCTCCCTTCTAGTTATAGTGCTAATTCTCTCTCATCAAGTGTCTCTCAGAACTATAAACATGCCTCTTCCCCTTCTCTCCAAGCACAAATGAAATCTATTTGTACCTATTGTTCACCAGTAACTTCGAAATTTTGAAAAATCCTTTTGAAATTAAAAAAAAAAAAAAAAGATGAAAAAGATGTATTACCTTGCTTTAATTCCATTTCCTCGTCCCATTGACTTGCAACAGGCCAGCCAAGTCTACTTTCTACAGCTGGCTCTACATGTGCAAAATTCTAGTCTCCGCATATTTGTCTTTGCTTTCAGCCTTAAGTAACTGGTTCTGAAAAGCTTTGCACAATGTTATTCATATCTGGTTTTGTGGCATGGAGTCCTCAAAGCTAACTTTTGCCATATTTTCAGCCTCTGAATTCAGTGGAATTTCTCGAGTTTTAAACAGGAAAAGTAAGTATCTCATAATTCATCCCATCAGAACTTCTGGAAAACAGCACCTGTACTGCCCTCCAGTGGTGGAAGTATAGATATCTGTTTCTGATAGCTTTCACAATCCTACCGTTATGTTTACTTCTTTACAGTGCACACAGTTTCAGAAAAGATCTCTAACAAAAGATCTCTAGGTGGCCAAAAAACAAATTTTTAATGATCTGTTCCAAATGTTAGTGAGTTTAAAAGGAAATCAAGAGTAACATCTTATTCTCCTTGAATGTTAGAGGAAAATCCAACCCTAAGTGTATAAAAAGATTTACCAATTTATTATGTCTCATGTAATAAAGAAAAGATTAACCTTTTATTCCAGAAAAGACCCTCCGTTTGTTATTTAATTAGTTTCCACTAATTAATTAGGATTTTTAAGCTCCTCTGTCTCTCTAGGAAAAAGTCCCTCCTTTTTTTTTCTACTTTTCTTTTGCAGCTCATCTTCTTCCTCCTGCCTCCTTTCAAAGTCTTAATCCTATTTTTGTATCCCTGGTATTACACGCCTTCGTTCTTTCTTTGTCTGAGAGTTTTCTTAGCTTTGCACTTGCTGGGAATAAAGTTGGACTGGAATTTACAAAAATTTTTTTTAGGAAGAACAATTTCCTTGCAGATCCCTTTTCAAAATTACATTCTTTATATTTCACTGGGGGGAGTAGCAAGGGGTAGTGGTGAAAAAATATTAGTGCTCCACTAATAAAGCTGCTGTGAGAGCACCTTTCTTATTTATAATATTTTTATTATTATTTTTATGTAGAATATGGATCTACCTTTCATTTTTGAATCCTTATGAAACTGCATTGGCTATGATTTCTTTAATACACAATAATTTACAATGTTAATTTAGTTAACAGGCTGATTAGTGCCAAAGACTCATATTTTCCCAGTAGCAGATCAGTGGCTTAGCAGACCATTCCTTTCCCTTTAACAATTAGTCAACATTCCTATGGCAACTATGGCAATTACATATACAAGAAAAACATTTCTAGAAAAAAACGAATTGTATGTCTACCTTACTAGATGCTCACATCAGCAGCTAGACCCTGCTTTGAGAGCTAGAAAACTCACAAGTGATTTGTGACTAGAAGTCAGGTGCAATTTAACTGCATAATATGGAACACTTACCTTTTTAGCACGCTGCTACTTTCTGCAACTTTAGTGAACAGGAAGTCAACATAGGGCGCAGTATCTTTGCCAATACTTGGAATCTATATTTCAAAATACATAGATCAGTACATGCGTAAATACATGAGTAAGTGTTATAGTGATATCAGATATTTTTAAATACTTCATTTGCATTACTAATTTATTCTTTGATTCAAAGATCGAAGCCGAAATTCCTTTAAGTGGTATATTCTTTATTGCAGCGCTGGATGCACGGGGGATCTCTCCACCTATCGTGCATACCCAAAGCGGAAAGCAGTCTTGAATTTATATAATCAATCTATCAATATTCTACAAGCACCTATACATATTCATTACCTATCCCCGCCTTCCCTCGCTTCTCATGCTAATTAGCCTTTTGGCACCTTGCGCCTGCATAGAGCCTTCCAAGAATTGTGGGCAGGGGTCTTTGGGACGTGGGCAGGGGTCTCTGGGAGGAAGACCCCAAGTCTTCCTCACAGTGTACTTTTCACCTTTGGTCAGGAATCTGCTGAATTGGCACGTTTCTTAATTGCGAGAGCTGGTTGTTGCCGATTCTTCCGTTTGTTGTATCTTTATAATGAATTCCAATGTCCAGTTTTGAGATTTATAGTCCTTACATTTGTTTCTCTGTCCGTCTGCCGCTTCCTTATCATGAGTTCCAGTGTCTTGTTTCGAGATATACAGTCCATGTCTGGGGATTGTCCTTGCCTCCCCAATGCCTCCTTAATCATCTTTTCCTTAAGAAAAATAAGTATCTTATAATTGTGCTTTTGTTCTGTATATTTTGTATGACTGCTTCTCAGCAAGTTGTCTACAATTAAGCAGAACTTGGTAACCCTCTTCCCCCAACATGAAAGTCTGCAAGTTTTTTCATAGTATGAAATAGAGATTTCTCAAGTCTCTAGCTCTTATCTTTCATGTGCATATATGAAAGCATATTCATTCTCATCAGCATCTTCTCTTGATCCAAAATAGTATTTAAAGTGTTTCAGGTGCATATGTCATCCTAATGACTATTTAGGGACTATATCATCAAAGAATTTAACATCAAGCTTAGCTGAAATGTGCTTAGCCTTTTACAGACTGGTTTAATGTGGGTGAGGTGAGCTGTTATGTTTACATTTTAAACTACAAAAAACAAAGCAGATAGACTGGGGGTGGGGAAGATTACAGTTTCCTACATTTTCAGTACAAAAATTTAGGTGTGCAATAACACTGGTGTAGATTGTGCATGAGAATCCTCCTCATTTTTCAATGTGTCAGTTACATTACCATATAAATGCCCAACACTCCTTCAAGTCCTATCTCTGCCTATGGCTTATAAACTCACAAGTGTGAGAAGTGTGCTGAGAACCCCTCCCCCCACCACCATTGAGACAAAAAGCAGCTGGTACATCTCAGCGTTCACAACCTAATCTATGCACACTCATAACACTGCATGTTTGTGACTAAGCTTTGAGTAGTGTCCTTGTTTTTAATTGCAAAATCTGGTAGTAAATGGCAACTTTTTCAACTCGAGTGACAAGCCACAGGTAAAATACTCTTAGAACAAAATTTTAGAATTTAGTTCATATTACTTTTGCAAGTTCTCTATTACTTTCACTTCAGCTACTCATATAAGATTTCAACCATATCTAACATCTTTTAAATAATATTTGTCTTGAATCTGCTCCCATTGAAACATGGGGAAATGTTGCACCTAAGAAGTAGGAAGTGTCCCTAAATTATTATAAGCATCAATGACTTAGCATACCTCTGCCAGCTCAGCATCAAATTGAGCTTCTGTTAGACAGATTAGAAAGATTTCAATCACACTCCTGAATTCATCCTTTCTGACTGTTAGGGTCTGAGCAACATCAAGCATTTAAAATGCTTTTTTTCAGTTCATCTTCTTTTACAGTTGTCTTTTGAAGTAAGATCTGCCCAAAGTCCCAGGAGAATAATGTAGGATCTGGGACAGAACTCACAGACATAGCTGTAAAATATATTAGGTAATATGATGAATCATCATATTCTAAGAAAATCATCAGATTCCATGGTCTGTCTTTCTGCAGCTACAACCAAAATAGTAAGGGTTTAAAACTTAAGTTTTAAAAGTTAAAAATCTATAAAGTACAACACATAGGTGTGTCCTGCCACCTCAGACATGATCTCTTTGCCCTGTATTTTATTTGGTTACTGAGATTTGGGTACACCTATCACATACTAGTGGGTTTAGCATTTGTTGTTCATATGTGGAGCCTACAGTCGACATGTATATTAGTGCACATCAGCCTCTTTCCTTCAAAAAACAGGCCGAGCAACAGAATGAGTAGATGTACAGTGCAGCACAGCTTACAGAGATACCTTGTGTTACACCTCCCATTCTTGCTGGGCCTGAATGAGAACTACACAAGGCCCAGAAGGTTTTTCCTGTTTCTTTTGGATTCACGAGCCAAGTTCAGCCACAGCTGTGAGCATTTAATTACTTACCACTTGAATCAATGGAGGTTCTGTGCACAAATCTAAACCTAGAGGCCAGTTCATATGCATTTATGTTTTTTTCCACAGTTTAATCTAGGATCTGCTGTTAAACAAAACATAACTGCCTTCAAAAGAAGATTTGTTTACAAGAAGCAAGATGGCAAAATACAGCTTCTTGTTATTTACAGCTTTGATGCAGTTTTATGGGATTTTTTTTTAATGCTCATCCCTTTCTTGCACAGAAAGGATACAGTCTTGTACATTTCATTTTGACTCCAAGACTTTTTGACACAAGAAGGTATTCAAATGCACAGCTGGATACAGCTTTGGTGAATTCAACAGAGCTGTCACAGCTTACTCCTGCTGTGACTAACCCTAAATCTTAAGCTATATGGCAAGGAGAAGAAGAAAAGTGACATGAGCCATGATGGAGGAAGCCTTGAATGATAATAATTAAAAATTACTTGCAAGAGGAATGTCCACTTTGGGATTAACAGCAAATTCATACTTGATTGGCACAAACTATAAATCTTAGTACTCCAGAAAATGAATTTTCAGTGGTAAGTGTACAGTCATTAGAAATGAGTTCCCAAACAACAAGACATGTATCGAGTTTGGTAATATGATTTAACTGGCAACAGCAAACTTGCAGTGATTTCAGAATATAAATGAGACAATAGTCCAAGGAACCAATGAGCTTCAGAGAAGGGAATAAAATTAAGACCCTCTTTCCCTACAAACAGGTGGAATAAGTGTGGGGTGGGGTGAGAAGAGACAATGCTTCCTCTTCCACCCTCTTTCCATCAGTTAAAAAATAAAAAAAAAAATAAAAAAATCTGGATCTAATGTCTACAGGATCCAGCAAATATGGTATACTTGTGTGGGATGACTTCTTTCAAAGTGCTGAAGGAACTGCGTCCCAAATTCCAAATGGCACAAGTGTTCCTTGGCTATTGCAGCTTGCTACACTAAAATGCACCACTGACTCTGATGCAAATATGGCAGAAAGCACTGAGTGAACAAGGCTACCTATGAGTTACAAAGATCTTGTCCTCTAAATCAAAATCCTTTTATTGTTCGGAGTCCCAGGACTATGAAAATTTAGATTTCAGTAGAAATCTGCAGCTGATTTAATTGAATGCTGCTTGCTGCCACACACCAATGCTCTGTTTTGCGTAGACTGAGGTCCTGAGGTAAATGTGATTCCTTGACAGGAAGAGCGTAAGTTACTGAAGTCTTCTGCATTTGTCACTCTGGCCATGACTTGGTTTAAAACAGAATCATCAGAATAAAACAGAATATAGGACATGAAAGGAAGCAGCGGGGCTGGCAACAACAATGATAGGAAAACAGATATATATATATATACACACACATTACGTACATATAAATATATTCTTGACACAAGACCTAATTCACTAATGTTTTGACTGAGGCAGTATCTGGTACCACTGCAGAGGTTTGGGACTCTTTTCATCTGGTTGCTACTAGTCAGCAAGATCTCTCTCCTACACTACCACTTACAAATATGCAGTTTAGTCTACCACTCTAGTGACCTACTCTAGTGCCCTTTACCAAATAACAGAGAATTTTATCAGTAAGTCTTTTTAGCCCTCATCTTGAAGTGCATATTAATGCATATTACAGCATTCTCAAAGTCTTAAAAAGCAAACAAAAAACAATAACCTTTCAGTTAAAGCCTGCTATTCTATTAAACAGTTGAGTTGCTTAGATGTTTAGACTTCTACGCTTTTGCATGTCAAAAATGCATGTACCAGACACCAGTTCATTACACAAATTACTCTGTTTTATGAAAAGCTATTATGAATTTTCCACACCAGAAAATCTGAGGCAAACTATACTGTAAGTATAAACAGAAAAGCTAACCAGGAAGATAACAATCAGAGAGTGCAGCCTAGCGTATTCAACAGTTTCATAAGCGTGGCTCACTGGTGACCTGCTAGGCAATGTTAAGTAGTCTGTATCTGCTCTGTGCAACCACACAGCTCAAACAGTATTTGCAGTTACAACAGTATTTGCAGTTGCAAGCTCTGCTATGTGAGCTCCTGTCAGAAGTTCTGAGAACTGACAATGTTCTAATGCTCAAAGTTTTGAGAGCTGTTGCTCGGTGGCACATTCAGACATGAAGAATCTGTCTTTGCCTGTTTCTGATGTATTTTACATGCTACTGTGTCCAGTTTTGGCATCTACAGCGGCTAGTTACAGGCCCCACTGTACAAGACAGGTAGTGAAAAGAGTCCAACACAGAGCCACAAAGATGACTGAGGAACTGAAACATCTCTCCTATGAAGAAAGCCTTATAAGAGCTAGGACTGTTCAGCCTAGAAGAGAGAAGGCTCGGCGGAATCTCAGTGTGTACAAATACCTGAAGGAAGGTTGCAAAGAGGACAGAGCCAGACTCTTTTCTGTGGTGCCCAGTGCCAGGACAAGAGGCAGTGGGCACAAACTGGAAGACAGGAGGGTCCCTCTGAACATCAGCAACCCTTCTGTGCTGTGTGGGTGACAGAGCACTGGTGCAGGTTGCCCAGAGAAGTCATGCAGTCTCCTCCTTGAAGATCTTCAGAAGCCACCACGTGGTCCTGGGCAGCCTGTTCTGGGTGGCCCTGCTGGAGCAGGGGGTTGGGCCAGGTGATCTCCAGAGGTCCCTTCCACCCTCAGCTGTTCAGTGGTTCGTCTGCTTAACAGTCTTTAAATCACACATACTATCAAGTACAGCCTGTCTCATGCAGCAGACCACAGGGTGATTCTACTTACATAGTTATCCCAATTCGACACTTC